TATATATATATATATATATATATATATATATATATATATATATATATATATATAAATATATACACACACACAATATATTAGGGATTTGATGTGTGTCACTATACAAATTATCCCAATATATATTGTGGTTGTTTTTTTTATGACCACAATACTAAAGAAAACCTCAAAGCCCATAAATAGGTCTCACATTTAAGATCCACTCAGCCATTTATTAAATACTCAATACTAATATCGCCTAAGGAAATATCGTAATATCTGACTGAATAGATTTTGTTTCCATTCATCCATGGATGGATGGATGGATGGATGGATGGATGGATGGATGGATGGATGGATGGATGGATGGATGGATGGGTGGATGGATGCATGGATGGATGGATGGATGGATGCACAATCCATGGCCCACTGTGCTTTTTGCTTAGCTGCATGAACCCAACAGAAAACCTGTAAATAATGGTACACTGTCAGTCAGGCTCCAGAGGAAACTGTGTGCTTTGAGACCTCGCACATTTCTCAACCTTTTGTTTTAACCTTTGAAAGAACAATTCTTAACTCCACAGTGACAGATTTATGCTCCACTACAGAAATATATACAGACTGAAAATCACTTTAACAGCTCATGATGTCAACCCAGAGGTAGAGCCTCCCCATCCCAACAGAGTCTGCATGTTCTTATGGGATCAGACACAAGACTGTTAGGTTGATGGGGGACTCTAAATTGCTTGAGTGGATGGGTGTATAGTTGTTTGCTCTTTATGTGTCTGAGTTGTCCTGTCACAGGCAGACCTTTCTAAAGAGTAAGAAACAGAAGCAAATACCCTGTGAGGATAAACGGGTAAAGAAAATGAAGCCGCAGCAATTGGCTGGAAAGAAAAATGGCCAGAAGCTGAAATAGTGAAATACCTCTTTATACCGACCAAACCAACAACAGTATTCAGATGTACTTACTTATGGGGCGCCGATTGTAAAGCTAAGCGGTCAAAAATTAGGAGCAATATTCATGATTATCTAGCGAAAGTCATTTTTTTTACCATGTCATTCATTCATTTATAAAAATCTTACTTCATTAAATAAATGTTAAGTTTGGAGCTAAATATTTAGTAGGCACATTTTATATTTAGTTTGTTAAATAAATATTTAGCTCAAACCAAAAATTTAGTTTGCACATTAAATATTTAGTGTCTTAAATAAATATCTAGCTCCAAATTATTTATTTAACAAACTATTTAGATAGTATTGAAGACATAAATAGGGTAAAAAAAAAAATACAAAGGAAGAATAAAACAGACAAAAATATTATAAAATTCACATAAATAAATACTTTAAAAAAGTTATTAATAAATAAAGTTGAACATTATAATGGAAAATAAATAAATAAATAAGGTAATTATTACAAAAGAGAATAAATAAAGAAGCTAATTAAAAAAGATATATATATTTATGTCTCACTGTATAATTTAATTGTGAATCTTTAAATGTAACTATCTCATTATATTGAGTTACTATCTCATTATAATGAGTTACTATCTCATTATAATGAGATAGTATCTCATTATATTGAGTTACTATCTCATTATATTGAGTTACTCTCTCATTATAATGAGTTACTATCTCATTATAATGAGTTACTATCTCATTATAATGACATAGTATCTCATTATAATGAGTTACTATCTCATTATAATGACATAGTATCTCATTATATTGAGTTACTATCTCATTATATTGAGTTACTATCTCATTATAATGAGATAGTATCTCATTATATTGAGTTACTATCTCATTATATTGAGTTACTATGTCATTATAATGAGTTACTATCTCATTATAATGACATAGTATCTCATTATATTGAGTTACTATCTCATTATAATGAGTTAGTATCTCATTATATTGAGATAATTTTATTTATTTTTTTAACAGAGTGGCGGAAATGGGCTTCCATAGTCTTGTGATTTTCACGAGCGTAATAAAAGGTAACTGCAAAGATAAACAGTTCACCTTTAAGCTCCTCATCATTATTGTAAATAGATACTTAAGGACGACACTCTGCAGCCTGCATCATCTGATCAATGGTAATCTTGTTAAAAGGTAACAAGTAGAAAAACTCAACAAGGATTTAGTGTAGCAATATAAATATTCCTGCAGGGGCTATTTGTTCATTAACATTCACATTTAAATAGACACAGAAGTTAGAGGAATTTTCTCAGTAAAGAGCCCAAGTTCAAGTATAGAGGAGCGGCTCTGCAACAGGAACACAGCATGAATATCCTGTCCCAGTGCCTCCAAGATTACCAGCAAACACACACTTCCCCAGTGTCCTGTCTTACCCTCCACTGCCCCGTTTCAGCCTGGGTCACAGAGAGGACATTCCTGGAGAACCACAGTAAGAAAAAATCCCTCCAAAGCTGAAAAAGGACTATGAACCTGTAAATGTAGAGTTGGAGTGATACCGCAGTCAAGTAGAAAACGAAACACTGATATTTTCCGATGGCTGGCATTGTCCTTAAAATCTGCTGTTGATATTTCACAGATATCTTTACTTCTAAAACTCTGAAAAAAAAAGATGTCAGCATTGACTAAAAATGCGTTAGCATTAGGGGTGAGGAAAAAAATCGATTTGAGCTCAAATCACGTTTCTAACATTTAAAGATTCACAATCGATTCTCATTTTCTTTAAAAACGTTTTTTTTGTGGGTGCGGATGTGCCTTATCAGACACCTTAGTGTTTGGCGAAACAAATGAGCCGCGTGAGCTATGCACAGGCATGCAAGCGTTAGCCTAGCAGGCTACAGAGTGGTGTGTAGTGTTGTGTGAGCTACTATGTTTGTTCCCGCTAAAGTATGGCGGACGAAAAAAAATAAATTCAACCGCCTCTGTGGTATTTAAAAGCAACCAATTGGAAACACTTTGGATTTTACCTTCAACCCAGTCCAGGTAAGAAAGTGTTTGGCATGACTCACGCGATTTGCCGAGATTGCAACGCTAACGTTAAGTATTTCGGGAGTACTTCAAATCCCGTTCTCATCTCGAAAGACATCACCCAGAGTCGTTGGTAGAATTGGATAATTCAGTAAAGACAGTGCCAAAACGACCAGCGCACACTTCACCACTTTGAAAAACTGCCACATAATTGTGATTGGACAAAGAAGATAACAAAATCCGTAGCTTGTTTTATCGCAAAACAAAAAAAAGCAGTGTATAAATCCAAGACATGTTGTCTTGGATTTACCTTTCGGTGTTTACATTATTGCAATAGGTAAATAAAACATTTACAATTATAAAGTCTTTATAAATGTACTCTTCTTTCATGCCAGCAGACTGGAATAGATCCTGAGAATCGTTTTGAATCATAAATTATTAGTTTCTGAATCGAATCGTTTGGATTTAAAAGAATCGGAAAAAAATCTAATTGTGACCCCAAGAATCGAATCCCAAAGATTCACAGCCCTACTTAGCAGTGTTACCAAATAACCAGCATAATATATCCTAATTCCCATCTGTACAGAAGACTTCTGCAACCACAGACATCAAATGTCGCTTGGTTCTGGTCACAAACCAATTTTGTTGCTATGCTTCTGCAACGTCCGTCTGGACTGACTACAAGCATGCAGCTGTTTCACTACAGTTTTTCTGTTTTTTTTTCATGAAATCTTTCTTGTCCATAATCTATTGTTGCATGACATGACATGCATGATTGTTGCACTGATCTGCATGCTTGCTGCAACTCTCTATTTCCATCTCTTTCTGGTTGCAAACCAACTTTAAGCTTATTACTGACACCTAAAAGGCTGGAGTGAGAAACTTAGTCACTGTTTATTGTAATCTGACCAAAATGGAGTGACTCTGAGATTTGAAAAGTGTGATTTGTTATATTGCAATTATATTGCAAATGCAATTAATTGCCCAGCTAGGGATGGGAATCGAAAGCCGGTTCCTGTTTAGAACCGGTTCTGTGTGTTCCAATTTCATGGCACCGTTTGGCAGCTCGCTTAATGATTCTCTTATCGATTCCAGGCAGCAGCAAAGCGTTGCTCTGGGCAACACGACTTACGTAACATTGTTTATGCAAGAAAGCGATTGAAAGTTTGACTTCATTTTAAGGAAGAGAAAGATGGCAACAAGGCGCTTTGCAATCATTGCAAAGTGGCAATTACATCCACGGGACGAAATACATCCAACATGCAGAAACACCTTAACATGGCATACAGTTTAACCAATGCCGTGTTTTTGATGCTTCCGGACAGAAGCTAAAGTTGAGACCAGCATGGAAGCCAACTCTGGTGGTAAGTAGCTAGTTTTATATCTCTGGCTGTGCTTAATGTGGTTCCTAGTTATTCACATGCCATTTCTGGAAATAAACCCATTACCTACCTCTCTTTGGGATTATTAAACATGCTACAAAGTTGCTCCGCAGTTCAGGGAGCGAGAGAAAGGTGACACTCATTTATTTAAATCAGGGGGAGATGAGGTTATTTCCCGAAATTGCACAGTAATGCTTTTTCAATAAACAGACGCCTTCTCTATTAGATTTAGATTACTTCTGTTCACTACCTTCTCGAATCGTCTCAAAAAATCGATAAGGGAATCGGAATCGTGAAAATCTTTTCAATTCCCAACCCTGTGCCCAGCCCCACTCCCAAGTTACCCTGTCCTAAAGCAGACAAATAGCAGCACCGTGATATCTTGCAGATGCGCCGTTGTTTTTTTGGAAGATAAAACACTTCCGCCAGCGCTGCCGAAGTTCTCGAGCCAATGGGCTCCCCCTTGCACTTTGGCGGGAAACTGCTGTGCGTCCCTAGAAATTCCCGACTGATGGTGCAAAAGCATCCCAGCAAAACTGGTTCACGACCAGACCAAGGCCACAGTTGATGTATGCGGATGCAGAAGAATAATCTGCCTTTTAAACAGTGATTCCTATTTTCTAACTGTAGTTTATGTTTGATGCAAAATAAATAATATAAAGACCCCCCACCCCGTTCAGGGGCCCCATCCAGCCTTGGACCGCCTGTGTCTGTTCTGTAATAAATCAGGATGTCTCCACCTTATGAGGAACCTGTTCTCCTCCAAAGCTCCAGCAAACTTCTCTCCATCTCTCTCCCTCCTGCTGATGACGCTGCAGCCTTTCTGTTTCCATCTCTCTCACCTTTTCTTTCCTGGCTCTGGGCTTTTCCATCTCCGGTAAATCCTCTAAACTTTGATCCAGCAGCAGCAGAACTGAGGCAGAGCAGGAAAACCATCCAAACCAGCGCAGGACTTTCTCCCCTTGGTTGGGGATCAGCTCCAGCGCTCCTTAAGCGGCCTCTCTCCAAACTTTCTGCTTCCTGGGTTGTTTCTCTTCCCAGAGAAAGTTAATCGGCAGTGAATGCGCCATGTTCCCCGCAGCCGATCCTCCCCATAGCGGAATGTTGGTCCGCTGAGAGGCGGAGATCCGCTGCGCTCCAGGATTCAATTACTGCCCATGACGTCACAGAGGATGGAGTTACCTGATAGAGACTCAATGCACAGGAATACAGGCTCCACCTGCAGGGACTTACTTTATCAATAACTCATCAACTCGCTGGTTAAGAAAGAAAATAAAAATCAATGGAAACTTTTTATTTGCATAAAAAAAATCTACTTATTTAGTAGATCTACAACCATCTAGAATGTGTAGCTTACGGTGGACTGTTTAAGTCTGAATATATATATAATATGCATACCGTTGGACTATCTTAAAGGGGTTCAATACAGAGGCGTAGCCAGAAATTTCCATAAGGGTGGCCAGGCAATAGATAGGCACCAAAACCTCACCCTAAATCTACACTGTTCCAACAAGAAATTTAACAAGTAAAACATCCATATTCTCTAAATAAAGACAAGCTATACTTTCCTACAGCCTTTGCTGACAAATAGACGAATATATTCAAACATCCGTGCTTTCTAAATAAAAGGTATACTGGATAATATTTTTTTCAGGTTTGAGTTACTTACCTACTTTTATCAATAATCATTCTGCATAAAATTTATATTTACAAGTACTAATATCTATATAAATCGATCATTTAATACGTTTTTATAAAAATGATTACTTATCTATGATTTCACTGAAGACTTCTAGATGATTTGCAGAGACACATAAGTTTCTCTTTACCCCATAAAACGCTAAATCTATTTCTGCTTTAATTCTTTATTTATCATCTTTAATGTTATATAATGATATGCATAATTAACCACATTGTTTTTGTTGTCAAGTAATTGTTAATATATTAAAATGTTTTGAATATTCCACTTGAGATTATTACTCTTGCCACCATCTGTATTAGAGGGAAATAAAGAGTAGGGTGGCCACAGAGATGGCCAATAATTGGCTAAGGCCACCTCTGGCCCCCCATCTAGCTCCGCCCCTGGTTAAATAACAATTTAAGAAATACTTTATTACCTCTTTCTCATGCTGATGATGTGTACATAAACCTTTGGCACCACGATGTCGATTGGGAAAATGTTTTTTTTATTATTTTTTTTTATTACAAGCTTTCTTTTGAACAAATATGCTTTAAACCCTTTATAGGGCCTTCAGTGAAATACTTTGAAAATCAACATTTCAAGCCAATAGTGTTATTGGAATCCAGGACAAGACCCTATTATCTTTTTAACTTTAAAAAATATGGATATTTTGATGGCAAAAATTAATGTTAATGTAATAACAAGAAATGCCGACTTGCTCGAATATATTAAGAAAAATAACAAAAGTGCTTCTATAAGAAATTCATGAACAAAAAAAAAACACTTTTTTTTTTTTCCCAACAAAACCTTAGAGGCATTAATGCTGATACTGTCACTTACATTTTTTAGTTTATAAACCTAAATATAATTAACTAGGCTTATTAACTTTTTTTGCTTTACTTTTTAACTTTTCAATTCGCTTTTTATCTTTTTTTCATTCAAGGGCTCATCTAATTGGTCAAATGCCAAAATAAGATGTGCAGCCATGTAGCAGTATCTTTGCTGAATGGCTGGATATAGATATTGTGCTTCTAGACCTCACTGATGGACGAGGGGGACTGTATCTGTAAGGGGAATGCACAAAAATGGAAACTTGCCCCATAAAGGGTTAAAATGACAGATTTAAAAACGAAGAGTGTGCGCCCTCTGGTGGTCCTATGGAGTAAGCACTGAGGAGTTGGATCTATTCTACTAATTAATGCAAGGCTTGTTTCATTTGATTATTTTCATCTAATATCTGTTTCTTTTCATGTAAACTAAAAAGTTTTATAGTGAAGGCTTTTCTGCATCAACTCCATCTTTTCTTTTCATGTATTTCAAAACGAAAACATCACTAAGGCTAAAATATCATTTTAATTAGTCTCTGAAAATGCATTTCTATGGAGTAAACTTTGTTGCATCTTTGTTTTCTAAATGTGAATTTGAAAAAAATTTGTAGAAATTTTATTTTGAAAAACTTCCTCAAAAAAGGCTTGGAGAGTATCTTTACTCTTTTTTTTTATTTTGTTTTAATTTTTCAAATAATTCTTTCTATACTTGATTTCTTTTTAATTCAGTTCAAATTCAAAAATATTTATCAATCCCAAAGGGAAGTTAAAATGTTGCAGTAACTCATTTAAATTTTTTTTACAGGTTTTATATTTTAAATGTTATTATTTCACATTTCTCTTTAAGGTTTACAAGTTGCATTAATTTCACAGATCGCGTTCTATTCACTTTAAGCCTATTACAAATGCCTTCTCTTAAGCACAAAGTGACCCATAATAATGTTGTTGCTTACATCTATGTAGACTAATAAAAATGCATCTTAAGTCCAGAGGAAAGCCCGCCCCCAGAAATGAAACAAATGTAAATCATAATTAGAATAGAACGCAACTTCATCTGAGAAAAAAAAAAGAAGAAAGTACGTTTGAAAAGGTTAAATATAATATTTTTTTATGAAAACCCCTAAAATATGATGAAAAGAATAAAATCTAAGAAAACAGCAAAGTCACTTTTTTGGATTAAAAAGTTTTTTCATTAAGAATTTTCATCTCTGATTTTTTTTTTCTCTTCATACAATGGGTTATTTTCACATTTTCATTCGCAAATCACATTTTCTTACCTCAAAGTTTTCATTTATAAGAGGTTCTTTGCTTGCAACAATAATGAAACCAATTTAACTACATACACTGAAAAACTGATCTAGAAATAAGTAAAAATTTCTTACATTAAACGTATTTACCCTTAATTTGAGTAGGTTCTGGATATAGTTTTCCGATGGAATTAGTATTTTTACACTTAAAATAAGATCATTAGATAAAATGCACTTGAAATAAGACAATTCAATTGTGTTTTCTTATTTTAAGTGTAAATTGTCTTGTTCTATTGGCAAGATGTCTCTTTTACATCCAGTTACTCCACTTTTCCAGTGTGTACATCATATATCTTTCTGAAAAAAAAAAAATGTTTCAGGATGTAGTCTGTTAACAGTTTACATGAAATCATGATCAAAACTGTGTGGGTACAGAAAGTTAAATAATTTATAACTGATATTAAAAGTTTCCCTTATTGGAAACGCGCTAGATTCTTTATAAGATTGAATTAGGTTTGGATGGAGGCTCTAATGAATGTATCTAACAGTTGGAGACATGCTTGGCATCACGGTATTGTTTATTAGCCATTTCAAGCTGATTCTATCAGATTTTAGTTTAAAACACTTCAGCTGAGTTCATGGATGACTGGGAGGCAGCACGGCTCAGAGGTTATCATTGCCACTTGTTTGTTGCTTTGTGCAAAATGTTCTTTAATCCCTCCTATCTCTACTCAGGTGTTCCAGAAATTGTGCAATGGATTCAGAAGTGATGCTGCCATAATATTTTCAGGAATGTTTGTCATGATCTTTAACAGATAACTTACTAACTGACCACTGGGTGAATTTTCTGAGATGCCAATGTCTACTATCCCTATTTATTTATGTTTTTTACTTAACCAGGAAAGCCCCATTAAGATTGAAAAAAAATCTTTTTTACACATGTGCTCCAGATAATCCCTGCAGCACTTAGCTTATATGTTCCTTTTTTTTTTTTTTTTTTTTCCAAACAGCTTTTCTCCCTTTTTGCTTAAACTTGTTTTAACAAATAAACAGTTTTTAAAAATTGTTGTACACCATATTTTAGATTTACTGTACATCAGTTGGGATAATATTCCGTGTGTGTTTGCATACATAAAAACCTTGAATGAAGAGTTTTCAACATAAGTATTTATTTTTCTATGTACAGGTATTTACATGTTTTTTAACTGCTCCACCAAAAACAAAATGTACATCAGTTTTAAACAACATGTTGCATACAGAGACGTCCATCGTGTGCTTCAGGGCTGGGTGACAGACATAGTGGCTCTACAGAGGTGAGAAACACACATTTCTGATGTAATTAAAGCATGATTAATTATTTCCAAACCTTTTTTTACAATAATATGACATTTTCTACTGTAACTGAACAACAAACAAATTTATGAGGAAAATCCCCAGTTCGCAGACATGTCCATCCATACATTAATATGTTACTAAAGCATCCCTGACCCGGTCTAAGCTGTTAGTCTTTAGTTTAGGAGCCTTTGCAGGGTTTTCTCTGGTCATTTGCATCATTTAGCTGAAGCCATAGTTTACTAATAGATTTAAAGTATCTTACTATAAAACAGTAGAAGACTACTCTACCATGGTGTTTTAAAAAAACAGGGCATCAGCAGGAGTTGCAGGAAATTTTCACAAAGAACTGGTTGAAGAAAATGTCATGTATTCTTTATATGTTAAGGTTAAGGACCCAAAAAAATAAATAAATAAAGAACCCATCAAAATTTGGATAAAGCTTTCCAAAACCCTGCGAGATGAGAGGTTGCCTGATAAATCAGAAGAAGACAAATTTAACTAATGCTACCTTAAAGTGTTAAAAAAAAGACTATCCAGAGCATCTCAGAAAGAACACGAGGAGCTGAGAAAAATAAGGTGGTGGCAGCATCATGCTGTGGGTTTGCTTTAATTGGTTCCAAAGAGGAGCCAGTTTTGGTCCAGAATTTGAAGATCCTGAGTAGAAAAATAGAAATCAGCATAGAGAGACACAGCATCCAGCAAAACAACAAAAGAAAGAGGATCTGGGACGCTGCTAGGGCCCTGCGCTGATGAGGAAACACAGCCAGGTTTCACCAAAAAATTTCAGTGTAAGAGAAACGTTTTTTTTTTTGTTTGTTTTTTTTTTTTTT